GGCGGCGATCGGGACATTAAACCTTGGTTTTCCAGCATATCCTGCTCAGTCTTCAGTGTCCTGCTTCTCAGTGACCAGAATACGTTTGTTTGAGGACGATCTGAGAACAGAACCAGTTTAACCTCCATCTCTAGCTGAGCTCTAGTTCAGTCACAAAAAAGGAGAAATTACGCGGACCAGTGTTTCTGCTTCCGCTTAATTTGAAGGCAGCCAAGCAAACTAGGCCACCAAGCAGGGGACAGTTGGGGATGTAATTATTAAAAGTCAAAAATGTAAATGAAGTTGGGATCTGGCAGCAGGTCAAGACGACGTCTGGGCACTTGACCTATTTTCTGACCTGAAAAGACGCACTTCTTGCAGAGTCTTAGCATGGATTAGCACTAATGAAATTAACTGGAATAACCGGCGTGGTGTAAGGATCATAATCCAGGACCATAAAGGAACAAATATAATCCACACCCTGGTTTCACTAGAAATTAAATGTTTTATTTCCACTGAAGAGGAGGAGTAACTTGAAACATCAAAACAAGGTAGAGAAAAAGTGAGCAGAAGGATGGATCACTGACAGCTTTCAGAGGACTTGTTCTTCAGGAAGTGTTGCAAAGAAAAAAGTTTGGATCCAGTTTAAAGCCTTCAGCTGATCCAAAATGCTGCAGCCAGAGTTCTGATGAAAATTAAAAAGAGAGATCATATCTCTCCTATCCTGGCTTCTCTTCATTGGCTTCCTGTTAAATCCAGAATAGAATTTAAAATCCTCCTTCTCACATATAAAGCCTTAAATGGCCAAGCTCCATCTGATGTCAGAGATCTGATTGTTCCTTATGTTCCTAACAGAGCACTTCGCTCTCAATCTGCAGGTTTACTAGTGGTTCCTAGAATTTCTAAAGTAGAATGGGAGGCAGATCTTTTAGTTATCAGGCTCCTCTCCTGTGCAACTAACTACCAGTTTTAGTCCGTGAGGCAGACACCCTGTCTACTTTTAAGGCTAGGCTTAAAACTTTCCTTTTTGATAAAGCTTATAGTTAGAGTGGCTCAGGTTATCCTGAGTTATCTCTATAGTTATGCTGCTATAGGCTTAGACTGCTGGAGGACATAGGGACCCATTTTTCATCATTCTGCTTCATTCTATCTCTATTCTCCCACTCTGCAGAATCTGTTAGTTCAATCTCTAACGTTCTGCTCTTTTTTCCCCTCCCTTTTACATGAAAACTATGTCGTCTGCTTAAAGCTTTCTTTCCCAGACAGCCTCCTAAGTAGCTACAGTAGCAGCCATTCAAAATGGCCCTTCCCAGTCAAACACCAGCTGAATGGTCGCCCCCTCCCTCCAACTTCCAGACACTGCAGTAACCCCCCTCTTCCATATCTTTTTACTCTGACTCCACCCTTTCACTGAATTACAGGGTCTGGCCAGTAGATGGCACTTCTCTTTAGATCTTAAAGGAATAGTACACCCAAAACATGATTAGCCTTCATTTTCTACTCACCTCCATGCTGAACAACACTCTGGAGTACTTTTTTGATATCTCAAATGCATCTGGAGATCTGGGAGGCTTCTTGCTGTCTGCTGACATTCAAATAATGGAGGTCTATGGCGCCCGAGACAGAAAGGTCCATAAAAGTCCACAAAAAACGTGTCGATATTCCTCCATACTGCTCGTCCAATGTATTCCAAGTGTCCTGAGTGGGTAGCGTCCATAATTTACTCGAAATGAAGTCATTTAGAATGTTTTTAGTGCATAAACAGTAGTGTATAGGATTTCCTGAAAGCGCGCACATGCGCGATCACGACGCTACGGAAGCCGGCAGACCAAACCAGCGCATTCAGCTCGGCAAAGAACTCATGCTCTTCCTTAACACTGAAGTCCTCAGACATTTTTCTTTCGTTGTTTCTTTCTTTGCACAGGTAAACAGCACATTTCTTCTTCTACGCTTGCATTATTGGCGGAGCAGACGCTGAATGCGCACCTTCATCTGGTTTGATCTGCCGGCTTCCGTAGCGTCGTGAGCTGATGTTTATAAAGGAATTGTTAGGGACCATCCAAGGACCCATCAAGGAAATTGGGGAAATATTTGAATGGCTGCTACTGTAGTTGACTGAGATACTGAGTGTTTATAGATCAGTGCCTCTATGCTTCTCTTTCTATCTCTGCTTCTGTCTCCTTGAACCCCAGTCGGCCTCAGCAGATGGCCGCTCACACTGAGCCTGGTTCTGCTGGAGGTTTCTTCCTGTTCAAAGGGAGTTTTTCCTCTCCACTGTCGCTGCAAGCATGCTCAGTATGAGGGATTGCTGAAGAGTCAATGAGTCGATGCAAGCTGGTTTTCCTTAGATAGAAAACCTTGAATCAATCTGTCTGGATGATCTTGTTTAATGGTGTCTGTAGAGTCCCTTAATATCATTTGTTGTGAATTGGCACCAAACACGTTGACAAAATGATTAAAAGGATGAAATAAAGACCACAATGGTCACATAATTTAAACCTGACAAAAGAAATTATAAAAAGAAATTCTATGAAAATCAACAAATGAAGGTCAGACATTGCTTTTCAACCCGAGTTTCCAACCTTTTCTGCCTTTTGTTCCCTTTAGGCAAATTTTCCTATTATGAATTCCCCTCTCAGTGAGAAGTATTGATGATTGTCCAAATGTGCAAAAGACTTAGTCTTTTAATTTGAGTGTTTCATTTTTATTGTTTTATGCTTTCCATCTAAAAAATTCCCCAAAAACCCAACTCAATATAAATATGTTGCCTGGAAGTTGGTAAGGAATAGAAAAACAAAATAAAATCATATAAACATGCATTTCTAAAACTAGATCTCCTCTGTGTAACCCCCCCATAGTCACGAATTAGTTTGACTTTTTCATCCAGACCGCTGAGCTGCTTTGATGAGCTCAGAGTGAAAACCAGTAGGCTAACAATCAGGGAAGCGGGCTTCAACTTGAACTGGAGTTTTCCGCTTGGTCCTAGTGCTAGACTAATATCTCTACTTTAGCATAATGTTGTTTTTTGGACATTAAAACGTCCTGGAGACGAAACGCACATTTGAAAAAGTGAAGGGAGCCTGGACTAAAGCGACTGTTCAAGTCATGTTTAGTTCTCCAGCTTCTAGAGTCGATCTTTCTAGCTCTGTGTTTTGGCTCCTGATCCTGTTTCATACCCATGAGCTGCTGCTGAGACCAAGCTTTCTGACACTGCAGCACATCTCTCTCCACCGTCCCTGATAGTCTGGAGATTTCATTGGAGCCTGCAGAGATTCAGATGAAGCAAAGCAGCCCACAGCATAACACAGCCTCCTCCATGTTTCTGCTTTTCTGGATCTGCTTCATCTGTGAACGTAGAGCTGATGCTGACATAAAGCTCCATGTTTGTCTCCTCCATTCATTCTTCATCCTGTTGAGCAGAGCTTGGTTATCAGGACGCCATCTTAAAAAAAAAAAAAAGCACCTAATCTACTCCCATTTCTTGGCCTGCAAGAGGTAAAAGAATGACTCACATAGGATTAACGACCAAAAACAAGAAAAACATTTGAGATATTTCAAAAACAAATGAATCTCTCATGCCTCCTAGGATCTGTGTTTGGCCTCCAGGTCAGCAGGAATGAGGCTGTTGCTCTCTGAAGGTGATTTCTTTTCACTGGAGAGATTTTTCTAAAAACCCTCCTCAAAGGATTCTCATGCAGGACTTAAACTTGAACACATTTAACTTTAATCTGGAAGCCATTGCCAGAGTGTAGAATATAAAATGGGCTCTATGGTTCTTTGACCTCAGTGAACTCTGAGTGGATTCTGTCTGAGAGGGTCTCATTATCTGGAGTCCATCTGTACGATGTCAAGTAGCCGGATTGCTCTTCAGCGCCGCCGCTGCTGCAGAAATACGTCCCCTTTTATCAAGCCGAGCCTTCAGAAGAGTAGCTGTGATTATTTTCTGTCCAGGCTTCACTGCAGCTCATGCTTTTCTCTAACCACTGGATGCAAAGTTAGAGGATTGGGGGGATTAGATACAATATTAGAAATTATAGCTCCTTATATTCTGGGTAAAAATAACTATAGTTAATGGACAAGTATACACTTCTATTTTAGGGTTTAATAAGTCTTTCTATGGGTGATGAAGATTACTGCTAACAATCAAAAAGGTTCATTTAAGCCAAAAATGTAGGCTGGAGATTGAATCAAAGGTTCAGGATGTCAGAGGAAATCTAAAGTCTGAATACTGATGCAAAATGGAAAGAAGACATTTTATGTGCTTTATTTTCCAGACTCCTTTGCCTTTCTCTGTGTTTATCAGCTGATGTTTCTTAAAGGAAATAGGCTTCAAATAAACATAAATACGTATTACTGTACTTAAATAACGGAGTAATTCTTTTTAACGGGCTCGTTAATTCTCTACATGTTGATCATGACGTGATGAAACGGCTGCAGCAGAGGGAAAATCATTGCAGAGAGAATCCGTCCAGCTGGAGCAGAGTTTTTTTATTAGGGGCGGACTGATGGATGGGTCAACACAGGAGGGAACACTGACCTTTACTCTGCAATAAACTTCATCAAAAAAGAATAAAGTTTTATAAAGTTGTTTTGTATCATTTTAGAGAAACGCTTTATTTTAGTTTTGTACTGAAGTGCAATATAGAAGCTGTACTTTATTACTTTTATTGAAGGACTTTAATCGCTACCTTTACTTTCAGAAGTCAGCTCTTTGCTTTTAAATAAAAAACTTGATGACCTTTGACCCCTCTAGTGGCGGACCGCCTCCTACATCACGTTGCTTTAAAGATCGAACAAACTTTTCAGCTGTTTTAGGACAGAAGGTCATTTCATGATGCTCTGAGACCACCTCCAGGAAGGCCATCAACATAGAGCTACCTGTGTTAGAGTGGGTACGTTTGCTGTAAAAAGCTCAGTTTATGTTTTTATTAAAAGCTGAACCAGTTTTCACTGATTATCCGTCCATCTGTTCCTCTCACCACTTCCTGTATTTAAAGGAAGTCATTCAAGAATCAAAAGCATTTTTTTTCACTTTTTAATCCCCTAACTGAGAATCCAGTCGTGTTTCACCAACTAAAAAAACTACCATGTCAGTAAACTCATGCAGCACATTTAGTCCTTTACAAAACCGAGTATAAAAACATTAATCAGCTAAACAGTCACAATAAAACCATTTGTAAGAACTAAGAATAGAAAATCTAGAAGCATAAATAGAAATTTGGTCCATCAAAGTGATTACTATATTATCATTTACATTAGATTGTTTTATTTTCCGTATCGTGGTCTGGTTTGTTTCCGGTGGCAACGGCATTCCCAGCATCAGTGGAAAGATCAGCTGCAGCTTCCCTCTTCAGGCGAGGCGCCAATAAATACGTCCAGAAAAGAGTTTAGTAGAAAATCAGGACAGTTAATGTAGAAAATGTGTCAAAGTTTGAACTACAGGAGGAAGAATACAAAAGGCACGCCATAGAAAAAGAGTCTGAATTCATCAAATCAGCCCGTCTGGAACTAAAGCGCCGAGTCTGGAAGCAGGAGGAGGATCACGGTCTGCAGAGATCCTGTCACAGCTGGAAAACAGGAAGAGCAGCTGATGGCATCAGGGCGGCTCTAAACCAGAGACTCCAGGCTGTCGGCGGCGGCGGCTTCGTTGTCGGTTTTCTCAGCTTCTTGCGTCCCGATGAGGCTCAGCAGGGCTTTGTAGAGGAACTGGTAGTGCTCCTGCAAAAACACACATGATCAGCCTGAACCTGCTAAACTCAGTGCTGCACAATGGCGTCAATCTGAGGTACGGCAAGCTGTTTTACCACATTACACCCAAAATGAACCAAATTATGGAAGCAAATCTTTACCATATTTAAAATGAAAAAGCATTTCCAGAAATGCTTTTTCATTTTAAGAATGTGGCTGCATTGTTTGACTCATAAATTAAATTAGTAATCAATCATCCTGTTTGCATTTACATTTTCTTCTTTAACACTGCTCATCCTTTTACTTTATTAACTGAAAAAGAAAAAGACATTTGAAATTTATTTTTTTAAATGTACCCCAGCAAATACATACCAAAATTAAATTTGATAGGGAGCGCTGTGCACGTCTGCATTGCATTACATTGTAAGCGTGCCGGCGGGAAACTGGTTGAATTGTGTGATCGGGACATACTGAACAACCACAATGTGGCAGAGCTACTGAGGGAGGCCGCTGCTTTAGAGCAAGTGCCTGCTTCTAACGGACCTGTGGCAACGCCGACTGCTCCTTAGTTTCCCGCCGACACGCTTACAATGTAATGCAATGCAGACGTGCACAGCGCCCCCTACTGAACAAGATGGGTAGCCCGGTCAGCAAGGACCTGAGGAAGAGCGGCAGCTGACGTCACTCTGCTGCGCCCGCCGCTCAGAAGGCTTTTTCTTTTTCGAGTTATGGACAGTACTTTGCTGGCAGAGCACGAAAACAAAAAAGAAATGTCCGCTCTGTTTTTCTTTAATTATGGCATAAAATGAGCAGTCTTAAAGAAGAAAATGTAAATGCCAACAGGATTATTGATTACTAATTTCATTTATGAGTCAAACAATGCAGCCACATTCTTAAAATGCAAAAGCATTTCCAGAAATGCTTTTGCATTTTAAATATGGTAGCAATTCGCTTCCATACCAAATGAGATAAACCATCAGTTATTTCAACCAAACATTTATAAAGCTGTGTTAACATCAAAGGAATTACAGCTGAATTATTTAAACCCTTTATAGCTGATATAGATCTATATATTCCAGAGAACGGTATGTTTTTTTACAAAATGTTGAATAAATGTTTTCCTTAGAAAAAATGCGCATTCCTTTAAAACCCTGATTTCTAGATGCAGTCCAGCTCTAAATGATCTAGAATCAAACCATCGACTCTATGAAACAGAAAAGGTTTCATGTTGTTCCTGCAGCATTCTAATCTAGAAAAGGTTTCTATATCTAGTGCTATAGATCTGTTTTCCCTCCATTATAGCTCAGATCAGTGAGCTGATTGAAGCCTTTCCCCATCGCTCCGTTCCAACATGGACTCAGAATCCTACCGGAAACTTCACTTTCTTATTTCCAACAGTTTCCTGATTTCAAACTAAGGATTTATTTGTTTTGGTGATTTCACAGCAGAGCCTAAATCAGGGTTCCTGCAGACCCTTAAAAAGTCTTGAAAGGCATTGAATTCTTCAATATAAAATCAAGGCCTTAATTGGTATTGAAATGTCTTAAATCAGTCTTTCATAGGTCTTAAAGTTGTCACCAAGTCATAAATAGGATTTTATTTTTGTAATTCAAATCAAAAAGAAAAATAATTCATGATAATTTTTTGACATTTACCGAACGGCTTCGCTGGAAGCGTTACTAGTTCAATCCTGACAGCAGAACCGATAAAACAAACAGACCTTGGAGCGATGCGCAAATTATTTTATTATCTGGACAACGTGTGGAAGTGTAAATGCAATGTAAAGAGTTTTCTGAATGGCTAAAAACAGAAGCAGGTAATGTTTATCAGGAATGGCGTATTTTGAACAATAAGTCATCAAAGCTCTGCACCACGGAAATCAAAGCTGTGAAGAGTGAAAAACAAAGCGCCAAAATTCAAGTTACAGAGAACGGAGTGTTAGGGCCAGGTTAGAGATCTTTTTTCCTTCTATTATGAGAATAAAATCGTATTTTATGACAACTCTTACAAGAATCACTGTCTTCCCTAAAATGAGGAATGTGGAGCATAGTTATCCTTTGGTAAATCAGGAAATCTTTTAGCAGCAGCATCAAACTGGGCAGGATGTCAAAGTGGACTCTGGTTGCTGATTGGTGGAGCTGGTCGACCGTCATCTGCTGGGCGGAGCTCCAAGCTTTCTTTCTGAAACAGGTTGTTGTAGGATGACTTCATTCTCATAATTTTATGTATTTATTCTCAAAATAAAAAATAAAGAAAACTCTAGCCTGGCCCTAATACTCCTTGGTAACAGAGAAGCAGCAAATATTTCTCAGTTATGTTCCTCCCATGTCTCTGCAAGGCCTCTACAGCATCTCCAACGTTAAAAAAAAGCACCAGTAGCACCAAATGTCGGATAAAGTTTGCCTACAATGGAAGCAGAGTCGGGATCAATACAGAGTTGGTGAATTCCTTTCATTAAACATTTCCACTGGGTCAGAAAGTAATAGTTTATGTTCAAATAAGCATCAGGTTAAATTTGTAGCAACCAGGTTTTTATTGGGAAGTTGGTCTTAAAGTTTTATTTCAAGGGGGGAAAAAAAGGTCTTAAAAAGTCTTGAATTTAACTTGCCTTATGTTGTAGTAACCCTTTAAATATTAGTTGATTGTTCCTTAAAAAAACTGTAAAAAAAAAAATCTGTATCAATGATTGATACTTTAAACACAACGAAAAGTGTAACCTCATAATATTTATTCCTGTAGATTTGCTGTCAGATTACGGAGAAACCCGCCTGGTTCCTGCTTAGTGTCTCCTTCCTACAGGTCTGAACATTTCTGCTGTTTTCCTCACAGAGGAGGATTAATGGGATGAAGCTTCTTATTTTCTAAAAACATCAGTCATGTGATGTTAAGACTAGAGGTGCAGCTTAAAGGTACACTATGCAACCGGTGTTGATTTTCCAGCGAGGCTCCCCCCAGAGGGCGAAAGTAAAAGTGCACTGTCGTAAATATGCTCACCTGTTCTCCTGGTTTCTCCGTCAAGCCAGGCGCCATTGTTTTGAGCTTAGCAGAGAGGCGAACGCAACAAATGACCATGTCTACTGCGGTAAGTGACTATTTTGTCGTTTTATTTTCATACATTATTTGTTATGCATGTGTCTAAATAACAAAGATTGTAGTTAGCCAAATTCTCGCCGTAAAGCAAGACCGACTCTCGCGATGCACGAGACTTTTGAGCCTGTGGGTGCGGGCCGAGGGCTCCTGCAATTGCAAGCGCGGTATTTCCCCTACAGACCACCAGGGCGGCTGAGAAAACCTTTGTTCAACCTGAAATGACTCATTTAATCATCCAAAACGTTATGGAACACATTAATTAACTGAACAATGTTGCATAGTATGCCTTTAATTATTCTGCTCAATTAATCTGGTTATTAATCAGATAGCCAAAGGTTTCTTAAAGGGGTGATAGAATTATTCTATAGGGTATCTGGTCCTTAAGGTCTCTGAATAGGGTGTGTAACATTGGTTGGGCTGAAAATGGCATATTTGCTGTTCTATGAGCCCTAATGCAGCCTGATTAAAAGTCCTAGAATGAATTGACAGGTTATCTTCCTTTTATGGTATGATCATGAATATTTAGATGAGCTGTGCTCTGATTGGTTGGTTTATAACGAGTGAAGCTGCTGAGCAAAGACGCGTCATAGCAACAAGCACTCACTAACTGAAACATCAAATTGTTGATATGGTAGGGTGACCAGACGTCCTCTTCTTTCCTGAACATGTCCTGCTTTTCTTACCTAAAAAAATGTCCGGGGGGGAATTTCAAAATTGTCCGTGATTTTGGTCGACTACAGAGAAGCAGAACCGAGCCGTCAGCTCCGGGGCTGGTCCGGGAACCCTGGCAGATGGGGGCAGGGAGTCAGCCAGGGGACGGAGCGACCGAACCCGACCCAGTGACGGTAGCCTGGACACTGGCAGCCCCTGGCTTACCCCCGCCTGCCTTACCGGCTCCCAGCCCCCCTCCTCCGGCTGAGGACGGGCGGCTCATGGTTCTCTGCTGAGGTCCGGTCCGGTCAGCGGCCCAGCAGTCCACACTTCATACACCTCCCCCCTCCCTTGGGTCAGTGAACCAGTGGGCTTGTCTGTATATCCATTTTGGGGCGTGACAAAAGTCCAGGCCAGTATCAAATAAGGCAACATCCCAGAATTTACATCAACTCGGGGATTTGTTTGAATTCGACCCTTTAATGGTAGAAGTTTAGAATAGTGAGATTTGTAGGAGGTGTTGATGGGGTTTGAACTTCTCTGTACATCCATTTCACCCAATGAACTATCGTTAGGTATCTATGATAACGTAAACTAGGTTTTGCATTCTATGACCCCTTTAAAGGAGATTTTTCAAAAAAGCAAACCAGGTGAAACTGAAACTTGAGGAGTTCTGGATTATAGAGCAGATTTTTGTAAAATCTTAAATTCAAAATGTTTACATATTTTTATATTGGTATTATTCCTGCTCTAAGTGGGTCCCTGAGTTTAGCAGATTCAGGCTAAAGGCTGTCAGCTAAAGGCACGTTTTAGATCAGCAGTCACCAACCTTTTTACAGCTGAGGGCTAATTCAGGGGTACTGAGTCACAGGAAGGGCTACCAATACTGACGTATGAATTGCAAAGGGTCAACGTTCACCTAAACTTCATATATCCTAAACATATCTTTATTGTTTCTTTAAATTTGTAATTTTCTTTTAGACATTTTCATTTTGAAATCTCTATAAATGCTTAAATGCCATATATGATTAAATGATGAAATGTTCTATAACTGATTAAAAAAAGAAGAGCAACAGAATACAATGAAATTTTAAACGTAGCTCACTGTTGAGTTGTTTTCAGAAGACTCTAAGGGCGCCCCTTGTGGTCCTTGAGGGCCCCTTGGTGCCCGCGGGCACCATGTTGGTGACCCCTATTTTAGATTCTGTATACTCCAGTTAACGATTAATCGATTATTAAGTTAGTTGATGATTGTTTCAATTATAGATTAATCTGATTAATCGTTTCATAAAGGTCCTGGTTAAAATATTATTTAAATGTCCAAATTGTATAAAGTTTTGTTATTTGTTTTTCATTTATTGACACGACCAGCATCAGACCATCGATCAGATGAATCGATCTGAATATTAGTCCCAAGCCGATGGCCGGTTTAATAAATTGGAAACATTGTGAATTGATGCTATAGAAATAAACCAAGCAGAAGTTACTGTGCAGAACATGGATCTTCATATTTCATGGTCCAGACGCTAAACTTTGGGTTTTTAATCTCATGTTGGAACCTGTTCAATAGGATTTAGATCTATAGAGATGTTTCTGCAGGTGAGCTGAACCTCGTTTCTAAATGGAGAGAGACGTACGACATCGCTGAACGCTCCTGGCCTCAGAAGGTTTGTCAGTCTGGCTGCTTGGAAAACATCTGCTGAGCCTTCAGCATCCAGCTGCTGCTTCAGGGAGGACAGAGCACAGAACGTCCCCGCTGTGGCTCCGCCCACACTGCAAGGACAAACCCTTCATTAGATCGTTGGGGGCGGTAAGCGAACAGGTAGGCTAACGGCTGGGCGGCGCCTCACTCGTCATGGACCGCAGTGGGGCCGTCCTTTCCACTCCTCTCTTCGTTCATCAGGCTGATGAGCTCAAAGCTGTTACTGATGGGACCGTCAGGGTTTGGCCAGCAGGGGGCCAGGAAATGCTTGACCTCCAAAACGAAGTCATCCTGTTCAGAAGAGGAGACAGAGACACGTCAGCCAGAGTATCCGTAGGTTTTAAGAGCAGAACAACGATAAATCATAACGTCTTATATGGCTGACGGCTGCAAACGGCTAAAAGCACAGAAACAGTGGATGATGCAAACTTCCACACACACTAAAAAAAACGCTGAGAAAAGAAACAGCAGCAGCAGCATTGCTGGGGAGGGGGGCTGGAATCAGACCCCAGTAGAAACCAGCATGTTGACATCACTATGATCATCAGTTTATTAAGGCATGGTGGAAAAGCTGTGTTTTGGGTATAAACTAGTGTTGCGCCGATGCCATTTTTTGGCCCCGATACCGATACCTGGCTGTGCAGTATCGGCTGATACCGATACCATAATAATGTAAAATAATTGCCATCATGGCTTTGTCAAGCTGCTGCCTACCTTTGTAAAGCAGGAAAAGACTAATAAAAAGTGAATCCAGTAGAACTTTTTATTGCCTGCCAGGAATGGGTGACAATAGTTGAAAAAACGTATGGCTCTCAAAATGGTATCGGGGCCCTATTTGTTGGTACTCGCCGATACCACCATTTTAGGGCAGTATCGGGGCCCCGTCCGATACTGGTATCGGTATCGGTGCAACACTAGTATAAATCACTGATCTCTATTCACTGGATCGCTGATTGGCCGAAGAAAGTGAAGCCTCAATCCGCCATGTTGGTACTCCCCACTCCCACAGAGTCGTGCAGTAAAAACCCCTCCCTGTGCAGCATCTGGCTGCTAAAACCAGCAGTTTTCTGGCTGCAGGAAGACGTTCCACTGGTAATTTCCCAGTCAGTGGATGAACTAACCAATAGATCCATCTATAGCCGATGGATACGATGGATGAGTCTGTAGCGTAACATTAGTCTGGCTATCTCAGACTGACTGGAAGACATTGGCTGAGTTAGCCATTGACATTGGGTCTAACGTTAAAAAATAAAAGTAGAGGAAATAGAAAGTAATTCACTGTGAAATATTAATGTATATATATATATATATATATATATATATATATATATATATATATATATATATATATATATATATACATTCAATTCAATTCAGTTTATTTCTATAGCACCAAATTCACATCATGTCATCTCGGGTCACTTTCCAGTTCACCAGATCATCCAGTCAGATTGATTCAATGTTTTCTATCTAAGGAAAACCAGCTGATTGCATCGACTCATTGACTCTTCAGCAATCCCTCACCCTAAGCATGCTTGTAGCGACAGTGGAGAGGAAAAACTCTTTTTGAACAGGAAGAAATCTCCAGCAGAACCAGGTTCAGTGTGAGCGGCCATCTGCTGAGGCCCACTGGGGTTCAAGGAGACAGAAGCAGAAATATATATTAAGACAATAATCTTATTGTGATGGATTTATATGATATTTTATATGACATGATTTATAGACTTCATTGACTTCATAATGACTATGCAATGTGATGGATCTATTTTCTTTAGTGTATAATTACAGTAATCTACTGATGCTGTGAAACAGCCAGTTTGTGTCAAAGTGACAAATTTAGTTTTATTTTAAAAGTCTTGAGTCCCCCTGAAAATGAGAACATCATAGTTGTTCAATGCTGTAGCGCACAGATAGTTTACATTGCGACCGGTCTAAATAGGGAGTACCAATATGGTGGCCGGTGACTTCACTCAACCCCGTACTACCAACAGGCAATCAGCAATCCAGGGAATAATTAGAGATCAGAGGTTTAATCCCGTCTGACGGCTCGTTTTCTTCCTCATGTTATTTCTGCTGTTTTTCTATTCTTTTCCTGTTGAAGTGTTTGGAGTCGCCATGATTCCTGTTTCTGAGCTCCTGCAGCTGTTTGCTACACATCCAAGCTAGGCCAACCTTTACTGCTGCCAGGGTGTATTCCCGGACCACCAGCAGGTCCTCGTTGGACAGACAGATGTGCGCCTCGCTCCTCTGGGTGACGGTGAACGTGTTCAGGCTGAGGGTTTGATCACCGGAGGGATAGAAGGCATAAGGCTCCGCCCCCTCCTCTGTCTGTGGACACAGAGACCAGAAAGGGTTAAATCAGAGCTCAGTAACATCATGATGATCCTCAGCAGCAGCTGATCAGAAATCTGCCAATCAGAACGCAGCATTGGTACGTCCAGGAACGACAGGAGGAGGAGCTAAAAACGAGCCTCAGATTAGAAAGAAGTGGGATTAAGGTGATTAAGGTTCTGGTCCAACTATCCCAGAACCTGCTCATCCACAGGTGTTTCAGACAGAACCACCTTAGAGGTTTAAAAACAAGAATCTGAAGCTTAGAAACTATCCAGATCTGGAGATGAAAGAACAGCACAATTTCATCCAGCCTCTGGTTCTGATCAGAGAAGCTCCTGGAAGGAGGAAGTGGGACATCGAAGCAGATGTTCTACAGAACAACACCTGGAGGGCCCGCAGTACCAGGCAGTAGCCTAGGGCCCCAAGTTCCTGGGGGCCCCATAAACTTTGTTTCCATGTATGGTTAATACAACTATTCCTTATTTCTGCACATTAATTATGTTTTTGATTAAAATCCTTTGGCTAAAATGCCATCAGAACGCTGATAATATTAAGTGTGTCTCAGCCCCCCCTTCCGTGTCCACCATATTGGATCAGTCCATTTGCTGCACATGTTCAGAAAGGTCCAAAACAGACAGCAGCAAACCATTTGAAAACAAACCATGCAAAGAGCAGTGTTGCCAACTTAGCGCTTTAGTCGCTATATTTAGCCACTTTTCAGACCCCTCTAGCACTTTGATTTCTAAAACGCTCCTAGCGCCAAACCTAGAGACTTTTTTCTGCTACTGGAGACTTTGGAGGCAACATCTAAAAGCAGCGAACTCTGCTCTCCAGAGCAAGTAGATTGGTAACCCCGCCTCCTGCTCTCCTCTATCTTGTCTGCTGTCATGATTCATGCAGCTATTATTTCATCCAAATGAAAAATGGAGAACAGAGAAGCAGATCATGGCTTGTCTACAGTGAAAAGAAGGACTGGGTTATTTACTTTGGCCTTTTTGGAAACACAGGAAGGAGCAATCAGCTAAGTGAGCTTAGTGCTTGGAAAAAATCTTTCATTCCTTTAGAGACAGCATGAAAAGTCAGCTGAGTACAAAACATAGAGAGGAAAACAAGAAGAAAAGGGACAAGAAGAGAGGGACAAAACCTAGAACAGATAATGGATGTCTATTCTATTAACATTTCTCTATCTGGATAATGGGTCTGTTTTATGTGTCGTCTTCTCAGTTCAGAGGGGCCCCTGTCTGTCTTTGCCTAGGGCCCCAAATTTCCCAGAACAAACAGATTTTCTCACCCCGGCAAGCGAGATGATGACCTGGCTGTTCTGATCCCAGATCATCCTCCAGAAGTCCTTTACGGTTCCACGCAAAGGATTCTGGGTAATGATGAACTCTTTGTTCAGTCTGTAGCCCTGCAAAACAAAACATGACCTTCATAAAGAGGGACTGAACCTGCAGAAAATACAGTGACATCATCGGATCGGCCAATCACATCACAGATCCAGTCTATGAGGATCAAACAGCAGCCAGAGGAAAACTGCTTCTGTTTTTTACCCCTGCTTTTTATTGTCATTACGCTGTCACAACTACAGAGCAATGAAATTCCCTCTCTGCATGTATCCCATCCCCCTAAGAGCAGTGGGCTGCCATTGTGCGGCTCCTGGGGAGCAGTGTGGGGTTAAGGCTCTTGCTCAGGGACCCAGAGGGGCAGTCTGTAGGAGTGAGGCTCAAACTCAGGATCTTTAGATTCCAAGCTCTATGCCCTAACCTCTAGGCCACCACTTCCCTGCATCCTGTTTGAAAACATCTCCCCTGTTCCTGTAATGAAGGCGATCAGCAGACCTGCTGCCTTCAAGGTTCAATAACTCAGAAACCATCTTTATCTGCTGGTGCGACTCTGGCTGAGACTAAAGCCACACTGCAAAAACAATCTAAAAGTAAATAAAAATGTCTTAAAGGCACACTATGCAACATTTTTCAGTTAATTAATGTGTTCCATAACGTTTTGGATGATTAAATGAGTCATTTCAGGTTGAACAAAGGTATTCTCGGCCACCCTGGTGGTCTGTAGGGGAAATGCCGTATTTGCAATTGCAGGAGCCCTCGGCCCGCACCCACAGGCTCAGAAGTCTTGTGCATCGCGAGAGTCGGTCTTGCTTTACGGCGAGAACTGCTACACGCCCCCAGTGAAAGGCATGCTCGTCGCTAGCGCAGTGGCGATATTTGTGCAGTTATCATGGCGGAACCAGCGAGAATTTTCAAACTCGAAAAGTGGAACAAAATAGTCACTTACCGCAGTAGACATGGTGATTCATTGCGTTCGCCTGTCTGCTAAGCTCAAAACAACCGCGCCTGGCGTGACGGAGAAACCAGGAGAACAGCTGAGCATATTTACGACAGTGCACTTTTACTTTCGCCCTCTGGGGGGAGCCTCGCTGGAAAATCAACACCGGTTGCATAGTGTACCTTTAAATTAAGTGTATTTACCCTTAATCTGAGCAGGTAAATAAGATGATCTGCCAATGGAATTAGTATTTTTACTCTTAAAATTGGATAATTTGATAATATGCACTTTAAGGACAGTATAATTGTTCTTTTCTTATTTTAAATGTAAATGTTCTTGTTCCATTGGCAAAGTGTCTCACTTACCTCCTTAATTGAAGAAAAAATGCACTTATTTTAAGAAAAAAAATGACTTATTGAGATTTTAATTTTTTTGCAGTGCATGTTCTGCTCTTACAGAGACGAATGAAGCGTTGATGTAGTCTGACGTCTCTCCAGCCGCCGTGGACAGACGCACCCGCCACCTCTCAGCTACACAAACAGATCAGAGATCATGTTGGGATGCTTTCCCGGGATCAGCGGCTGAAATGGGAGCGTCGAGGCTTCCCGCTGACTCACCGGGAATCACAGAGACGTCTCTGTTCTTGGTGGAGTTGATGTCCTGCAGGGCGGCGGAGAAGTCTGATTTCCTGGCCTCGGTGTGACACACCAGCTGTGGAAAACAGAACGCAGACAAACTTCAGGCTCTTCTAGCTGACAGAGGCTAACAGCTTAGCCTGATTCTTGCATTTTCAGTCCTCATGAACCAGGAGATCTGTAGATTTCTCACATTTCTATCTGGAAATCGATGAGGAAAAGATTCAAAATGTTTAAAACATTTTATTTCTTGGTGTGAATCAGTGTCGAAACTCGTCTCCGCCCAGTTTACACGTGTAAATGACCCAATTTCTAATTTTGCATCAAGAAATATTACAATGTGAAATTACTAGAACCTATTATTTTTGCCTCCATTATTTTTATGAATGTATAATGACTTACATTTTACTTAAACGTAGTAAAAGAAGGAAAGATAGTTAAAAATAATACACTTTAATTTGAAGGACTTGCATCCTCCGAAGTAGCACAAGGTTTGTGCTTATGTGATAAAACATGTTTAAATGTATTAATACTTCCATAAAATGAATTGGTTCCTAAACGTTGCTTCACGCAGACAGTTAATTGATTATTAATAATGTTTAGAAACTGTTGGGGAATTTGTGCTGCTTTTTTCAGGAATTCCAGATGAATGTGTGTTAGTGTGTTTAGAGATGATTTTCTGCGTCTGAAGAACCTTTTTCTGTTTATCGTTGAGTCTCCGTAGCTTACGTTTAAGATGCTAATTAATACGTAGTATTGGCTAGTACCGTAATCCATTCTTTCTCCTCTACTCTGCCTAGCTCTTGGTTTACAGGATTATTGTTGCCAAGATTCCAATAAACAAGAAAACCTTCAGTCAGTTGCCCATCCTCCATGGGAGATGCTGTAACACATTATACACTCACCGGCCACTTTATTAGGTACACCTGTCCAACTGTTCGTTAACACTTATTTTCTAATCAGCCAATCACATGGCTGCAACTCAGTGCATTTAGGCATGTAGACATGGTCAAGACAATCTCCTGCAGTTCAAACCGAGCATCAGTATGGGGAAGAAAGGTGATTTGAGTGACTTTTAACGTGGCATGATTGTTGGTGCCAGAAGGGCTGGTCTGAGTATTTCAGAAACTGCTGATCTACTGGGATTTTCACGCACAACCATCTCTAGGGTTTACAGAGAATGGTCCGAAAAAGAAAAAACATCCAGTGAGCGGCAGTTCTGTGGGTGGAAATGCCTTGTTGATGCCAGAGGTCAGAGGAGAATGGCCAGACTGGTTCGAGCTGATAGAAGGGCAACAGTGACTCAAATAACCACCCGTTACAACCAAGGTGGGCAGAAGAGCATCTCTGAACGCACAGTACGTCGAACTTTGAGGCAGATGGGCTACAGCAGCAGAAGACCACACCGGGTGCCACTCCTTTCAGCTAAGAACAGGAAACTGAGGCTACTGTACTCAAATGGCCTCCACAGTCACCAGATCTCAATCCAATAGAGCATCTTTGGGATGTGGTGGAACGGGAGATTCGCATCATGGATGTGCAGCCGACAAATCTGCGGCAACTGTGTGATGCCATCATGTCAACATGGACCAAACTCCCTGAGGAATGCTTCCAGCACCTTGTTGAATCTATGCCACGAAGAATTGAGGCAGTTCTGAAGGCAAAAGGGGGTCCAACCCGTTACTAGCATGGGGTACCTAATAAAGTGGCCGGTGAGTGTATATATACTAAATATACAAGGAAAAAAACTTTAAATTTTTTTTTTTTTTTTTTTTACATTTAACCCTTTATAGGGCAAGTTAGTGTTTTTGATCACTTGCATCAACCATACAAATCTAGAAGCATGAGATATTTATCCAACTATTCAATAAAGATGCTGCTACATGGCTGTACATGTTATTTTGGCATTTGATCAATTATTGAATGATTACCTACTGGAATATAAGTTGGAAAAAGTAAACAAGTCAAGAAAAAAAAGGTCAAAAGCTAATTGAAAAGTTAAAAAGTCAATAAGCCTGGTTAACGATTATATTTAGGTTTATAAGCTAAAAAATGTATCAGCATTAATGCCTCTCAGGTTATGTTGGACCAAAAGAAATGAGTGTTTTTCATGAATTTCTTCTAGAAGCACTTTTGTTATTTTTCTTAATATATTCGGGCAAGTTGGCGTTTCTTGTTATTAGATTGACATTCATTTTGCCACCAACATATCCAAATGTACTGTATTAATGTTATAAAGATAATAAGGTCTTCTCCTGGATTCTAATAACACTATTGGCTTGAAATTTTGGATTTTCAAAGCATTTCACTGAGCGACCTATGAACGGTTAATTTGAAAAAACACATCAAAAAATATGTATACCTTAATAATCACCTCCAAACCCTTCATATGAACAGCTTTTCTGCACATTTTCTGTGATATTTTGATGATTTATCTTTAATGATGAGCTCAGGAACTTCAGACCTCTTTGCCATAACCCTAATCTCCATGAATCCGACTCACCCTGAACTGTTTGTCGAGGCGCGTCCTCCCAGAAGGCCCTGGAGTCAGCAGCTCGTCCACGTAGCCGTGCAGGCGGGCGGCCTCCACCTCCGTCTCTCCGCACATGATGGCTTCCACCAAAGCATCATGGATGAAGATATACTGTTCCTGCAAACAAGGACCCCTATGAGCTACTTTGGAGATAAAACAACAAAAGCTGGTTTCCTCAAAGATCTATTTATTTTAATTCAATTATCTAAATGTGTCGATAATTTGATGCCAGGAAAAGACGCAACAGAGAGAAGAAAAGAGAAAGTTACTGGATTCTGACCAAACATTGATGTTTTATAGCATCACAGACATCAGTTAGTCAAACCTCCCAGTGCATCATCATTATTTTATATAAATATATAAAACATTGCTGCCATCTTAATGAAACCATGTAACTAAATGAGAAACATTATTCTTTACTTATCCTATTTTTTTTTTTTGCGGCCGCTGCATCAAATCTACCGGACGACTGAGTCCTTTCTGTGTGGGCGGCGTGGCGCTCTGACCTCAGTCTGAACCAGGTGGTTCCTCTGAGTGCGGATGTGCTTCAGGAAGCCCAGAACGTTCAGCGCTCCTTCGTCCTCCATCTGCCTCAGCATGCTGTCCAGGACGATGTAAGTTCCCGTCCTGCCGACCCCGGCGCTGCGGAGCAAAGCAAACAGTCAGCCGAGCTTCCAGCACCGATGATGAGGATAAAGGGGCTTTATAGGACCTGCAGTGCACCACCATAGGACCCGTTTCTTCTGAATTGGCTCTGGAGGACTTGCGAACAAAGCTGAGAAGAGGCAGAGACAACTCTGGGACCCCCATATCAGGCCACTGGGTGTACTGGTACTGTGTCACTGTTCGCTCGTTGTTCCAACCTTTCTTTGAGCTCTGCAGGACAAACACACATGAGGAAGTTATTAGCGGCGCAGACTGTCTGCAGTACAGGAAGTTTAGGCCAAAAGGTACGAGTGAGTATTAGAGCCCGCTAGAGATTTTTTTTTTTTAAATACCAGAATAAAGTCATAATATTACTTGAATAAAATCACAACATTACAAGAATAAAGTCGAAAAATTCTGAGAATTAAGACATCATAACAGGACCAATTTCAGAAAGAATGTTCCGATGACGGCCGACCAGCACCACCAAACAAGCAACCTGGGTCCATGTTGCAACTATATTCTTCTAAGGTTGCGACTTTATTTTCCTAACATTGCGACTTTATTCTCCTAACATTGCGACTTTATACACCTAATGTTGCAAATTTGATTTCCTAACGTTGCGACTTTATACTCCTAATGTTGCGAATTTGATCTCCTAATGTTGCGACTTTATTATCTTAACATTGCGACTTTATTCTCCTAACATTGCGACTTTATACTCCTAATGTTGCGACTTTATTCTTCTAACATCGTGACTTTATTCCCCTAACGTTGTGACTTTATTCTCCTAACGTTGCGACTTTATTCTCCTAACGTTGCAACTTTATTCTTCTAAGGTTGCGACTTTATTCTCCCAACATTGTGACTTTATTCCCCATAAGTTGCAACTTTATTTTCCTAACATTGCGACTTTATTCTCCTAACATTGCGACTTTATACACCTAATGTTGCAAATTTGATTTCCTAACGTTGCGACTTTATACTCCTAATGTTGTGAATTTGATCTCCTAATGTTGCGACTTTATTATCTTTACATTGCGACTTTATTCTCCTAAAGTTGCGACTTTATACACCTAATGTTGCAAATTTGATTTCCTAACGTTGCGACTTTATACTCCTAATGTTGCGAATTTGATCTCCTAACGTTGCGACTTTATACTCCTAATGTTGCGACTTTATTCTTTTAACATCGTGACTTTATTCCCCTAACGTTGTGACTTTATTCTCCTAACGTTGCGACTTTATACTCCTAATGTTGCGAATTTGATCTCCTAACGTTGCGACTTTATTCTTCTAACGTCGTGACTTTATTCCCCTAACGTTGCGACTTTATTCTCGTATTTAACAACAAAAATATCTCGCCTGTCCCTAATACTTTGTCGCACAAAGGTCCTAAATATAAAAGAATAAATAAAGTAATCCATTAGAAAGGGTCAAATATGGATTTCTAGTTTTTAGATGTTTGTTAACTTCAGTAATTCTGCTGCTCACACACACATATATATAATATATATATATATATATATATATATATATATATATATATATATATATATATATATATATATTGTTCCTGATGTTTAAAGTTACTGTAGTTTTTTTCTGGACTCTCCTGCTTCAGAGTGGAAGAATTGCTACAAAGCCGTCTTGTAAACGCGCCTCAGTTTTCTCCGATGGAAAAAGTTTTAGGTGATAAAGAACTTTGTTTAAACCTCAGAGGAGTCGGAAAGTTCTCCCTGCAGCTGACCTTTTTAATGAGGGTGTTCCTCACGCTGAAGGTCCTCTGTGTGTAGTAAGCCAGGACTTTGGTGCTCTTTACTGCCACTAGAAAGCGCCCGTACTCCTCCTCCGCTTCTTCTGGCCAGTACTGGTCACACTTCCTCTGAGGAACAGACGCAGCAGAGCAGCATCATCATACAGAAGGGGAAAAAAACTTGGCTGTTTTTATTTTTCATATGTTTCAGATCTGATTCTCTTTTTTTTGGTAGAAAACCATATTTCCTGCCGTAGGAGCAGACTGGATGACTCACCCGTCCATTTTCCACCAGGTTGGTGATCATGACAATGACGTGGACATTCTGCTCCCAGATCATCCTCCAGAAGTCCTCAGTGCTGGATCTGAGAGGGCCCTGAGCAGCAATGTATGACCGCGGCCTCTTATATCCCTGAGGAAGGAAAAACTAACTATAATCTACGTCACATCCTGAACCAGCAGCTGATTCTCAGTCTTTTAGCTCTAATGGTTACATGAATCAAATATTTGCTCCTGTCTGTAAAATAAATGTACACGGTCAAATAAAACTATTTCTAAGACGAACTTCCCTTAAGGATTTTTTCATATACCTAACTTGTAATTTTTTGTCAGTGTGATGAAGATGCAGCAAAACAATATTTGGAGCAACGTGTTTCCTCCTCCTTTATCTCACGGTTACACCCGCTGCCAAACTCCAGCCTGCACTGATGGGACTATTGGTGCGCTCGATTTCAACAGCTGCATCCTCCAAGGACCTGGTCTACCTGGACTGAAGCCTTCAAAGTCCATAAAAATAAGGAGGCTGGAAGAGTTTGGTTATGGATTCAAACAGGTCCAGCCTTCTCCGACTTTCACCCCTGCACAGTCTGTCGCCTAGCAACTGTTAGAGTTGACACTCAAAGCAGGCAAAGATATCAGATATCAGATTTATTGTCCCCACACTGCAGAGATGTTGGAATCTGAGCTTAAACATCAGACACAGATAAAACCTTTCAATAAATCAAACATTACCGCCACATATCTGACTCAATAACCAGCAAAACAACTATTTTCATTCATTTCAGATGGAACTATTCACATCCTTCGATTATATTAAACTAGACTTCCAATATTCATCACTGTTCGGGGCCATTTCCTTTTTACCTCTGAGCACGGAGCAGCTGGCTTGCTCGAACTCACAAAGAATCATGGGATACCCAAGACTATGGAGGATGCAGCGGACCCGTCCTTCAAAAAAGGCAAAAACAAGGCAGCATTTATCGGCCGCATAACAAGGAGTCTTCCAATCCGAACAGACCTCGGCGCCACGCTATGAAGTCATCAGCCAACGAATCTTTGGAGGAAGCAGCCGCCGGATTCAAACTCAGCAATTATTCAACATTTGAACGGTTCAATGGCTCTACCCACTATGTGGTTTGAGATGGCCCTTAATGTGGGGGAGCCTCCATGGGAATGAAGGATTCATGTTTAGGGGCCTGTTTGGGAGTGGGCCCCTTTGTGTCACAGGAAGTGAGTCCAGTGAGTTTAAAAGCTGGAGCTTCCTAAAAAACCAGGCTGGTGAACCTGAACTGAACTGGACAAAGAAAAACAAACTTTGTTCCAAAGCAAACAGTCCAGGAGTGACGGAGAATAATAACCTACCTGGGGGGGCAGGTGCCTTAGAGACCAGCTGACCTGATCAATAATTCCCTGTTTTTGGAGGAAAAACAGAGAGAGGCTCCAAAAAGCAGCAAATCAGAATAGATAAAGGAAATTTGAAAGAATTTCCTAGATTGAAGGGATAATAATCTATTTCTATTCATTTTTAAATGTGAATCCTCCCTGGAATAAAAGGAGCTGGACTGAGTTTAATTAGCGGCCTAACAGCAGTCCTTTTGCTTTCTGTACTTTTTGATGCCGGGTTGGACCCCTTTTTCTGCAACTCCAAACCTGTTGTTTCCACATGAGAGCAGCTCAACTTCACCTACAACACAGACAGCTGCCATCTCCAGAAGGTCTCTGATGACTCGGCCATTGTAGGCTGTGTTTCTGAGGGGAAGGAGCTGGAGTATCCATCGGTCATCATGAACTTTGTGGACTGGTGTGAGAAGAATCACCTGTGTCTGAACACCACTAAGACCGAGGAGATGGACTTCAGGAGAAGACCCCACCTCACTCCCCCATAAACATCCAGGGCAGGACATAGAAACAGTTTCAAATCTCTGGGTGTTCACGTCAATAATAAACTGGACTGGACTCATAACAGCGACGCCCTGTATAAGAAGGGCCAGAGCCGCCTCCCTCCACCTCCTGAGGAGGCTGAGGTCCTTTGCAGTGATCAGGCTCCTGCTTCAAACCTTCTCTGACTCTGTGGGGGCATCAGCCCTCCTCTACGCTGTTGTCTGCTGAGCCCCTGGCAGCGCAGAGCGGGACAGAAAGAGACTGAACAAACTGGTGAGAAAGGCTGTTTCTGTCCTAGGCTGCACTCTGGACTCAGTGTCTGAGAGGAGGCTGATGTCCAAGCTTTCATCCATCATGGACACCACCTTCCAGCCTCTGCAGCAGACTGGAGAGGAGCTGAGCAGCTCCTTTAGTCAAATATGTTTACACCCTGTTTGTTAAAAGCAGCGCTACTGCAGGTCATTCATCCCTGCTGCAACCAGACTCTACAATGAGACGCTACAACCACAATAACTGCTGCAATGGAGAATTTGCAATTACTATTTTACATCCCATGCACCTTTTCTCCTTCTTCTTCTCTTTTTGACTATTTTAGCCGATGTAACGTGTAAATTTCTCCTCCTTGAGATCAATAAAGTCAATCAATCAATAAACAATTGTAACACAGTCAAAGGTTAGCGTTAAAACTTTTCATCAAAATGGTTCATATTACATCCACAGAGCACCAAGAGAAACATAGATATTTACTTCTAGTTACAATACCAGCTAACCAAAGGCTAGCACTAGCATTGGCAGGCCTGGCTAGCAGTATGAAACGAGAGTGTGAGTATGCCACCTACTGGCCAGGAGGAGTTAATGCAGCAATTGCTTTAAACTTTTACATTAACATGTGGTTTCAACGTTCTGCATTAACCAAAGAAAAAATTAAAAAACATAAACTCTGACTGACAAAAGCAGTGTTATTTTTCTGCAGTAGCTTGACTGAAATAAACAGAATGAAGGTGAAGTGTGATGTTTTCAGACTGTTTCTCCTACGTCTACATAGTTGGCGTTGATGTAATCGGAGGATTTCCCATCTTTGTTGACTTGTGGGGAGAGTTGGACTCGGCTGTGGTCGTCTGAACGTCAAAGAAGAAAAAACAGGATTATAAAAATCATTTTTATCTGCAGGTTTTAGGTCTGTAGTTTTAAATGAGCTGTACTCACAAGCCAAGATGTTGTTGTATCTGTTCTTAGTCCTGTTATCCGGATGGTTGGAGCCGTCCGTGGTCATCCACATGTTGACGGTGCATGCCTGCACCTCCTACCAAAAAAGAAGGCGCTTTTTCACCACTGCTTCTGTTTTCTCAGACATATTTAATTGTTTTGGTAGTTTTCATTAACTCCAAACAAACATATTGCTGTGAACAAGTGACATAAGGGGATGTTTTTGTTGTCCGATGTGTTTTTACAGTTTTATCACCTCCTAAATATCTCCCTCTAATTTTATCAGGAATATTTTCTGTTCATTAGATCATCAGCAGGGCGACTGTTTCTGGACTTTACTGAGGATTTCAAACTCTGAGGTTTGCAAATATTAAAGTTCATAGGGTCAAACAGCTACACTGAGGTCTAAACAGCATGTTTGCTTCAAGGGCTAAGAAATTAAAAGGATTTTTGAGCTTAATGTGTGAATCAAACCCAGAATAGAAGCTAATGACCTTATAGCTGAAGGTCCTGCTTCTTCCTCCACTCAGGGAGGAACAAGCTGTTATAACAAAATAAAACAAATAAAATAAGAGAAAACCAAAATTGGGCTGTTTGGCCTTGGAGGGAGTCGTTAGAATCAGAGAAAAAAGGGGGAAAGTTTCCAAGCCTGGAAAAAAGCATGGTGGCATCATCCTGCTATGGGGATGTTATGGTGAAAATCTAGTGCAAATTCCAACAAAGATGACACCATAAAAAAGGATTTATTGGGGTTTGAAGAGGAGCCGGTTGATGGGAAAAGCCTCCAGCTGTCGATGACCCTATGGGTACAATTTAAACATCCCTTCTACCAAAGACAGAGGAGATGGATATAAACCTCTGGAAAGCTAAAAAATAAGTTTTAGAAACATAAGTTTTTGCAACTTTAGGAAGGCGGAGCGAAAGTGGCAGTAAGACCGTCTGGAGGTCTCGTACCAGATTCTTAAAGAGAGCTGTAAAAAGTACCAGAGGGTGGTTAGGGTTGAGAGAAACAAGTATTTTTCTGATCTAATCTTAAATAATCTCAGCAAGCCGCGGATTCTTTTTAAAACGATTGACTCTGTTTTTAATCCTATTCCATTCACTTCACTGGAAATGACAGACGAAACTTGTAGTAAATTCCTTTAATTTTTTATCAAAAAGGTGGATACTATCAGGGCGGATATATCAGCTTGTATTATGAGTCCCTCCGTAGTAAATTGCTGCTCATCTGTCTTTACGCCGTTTCAGCCTGTCTCTCCAGCTGTGTGTATATATATATATGTATATATATATATATACACATATATATGTATATATACATGTATATAAATATATATACATATATATGTATATATACATATATATGTATATATACATATATATGTATATATACATATATATGTATATATACATATGTATACATATATACTGCATAAAGAATATGGCATCATGCATATTATGCAAATAGAAAAACATTGAAATATTTTTATTTAAACATGTACTTGTAATTCAGTCTTTATGTAAACAATTACCACAGCAATGTCATAAATCCATGTATATTACATGTACATCATCAATTTAACACTTTTGGTACATCTGTATTATTCTGCTCCATTAATACATTAATTTTATGATTTGTATAATATGTTATATTACATGATTTATAGACTTCATTGACTTCATAATGACTATGCAATGAGATGGGCCTATTTTCTTTATTCTAAGTTAAAGTTAATCTATTGATGCTATGAAACAGCCAGTCTGTGTCAAAGTGATGAATTTATCTTTATTTTAAAATTCTTAACTCCCCCTGAAAATGAGAACATCGTCATTGTTCGATGCTGTGGCGCACAGATTGTTTATACTGCTGCCGGTCTAATTAGGGAGTACCAATATGGCGGCCGGTGACTTCACTCCACCCTGTACAAGCAATCATCAATCCAGGGAATAAACAGAGATCAGGGCAGTAAACACACAGTCTGGAGGAAAGCTCCTTACCTGGTAACTCTCTGTCAGATTCTAATGATGAGTGTGAAGAAGCAGCAGGCACCCCGTTTCCATGACAACACAGGCAACCAGAGAGGTGCAAAATACACAATTACAAGACAACACAAACAGAAAACCACAACTGCACAGTTTGGTGAGAAAGAGAAAGACGCTGCCAACCAAAGACAAGATCAACCCAAGATGGCTCTGGTTAAAATTTGGATTTATTTCTTCTGTCATTTGATTGTTGGACTGAGTTCATCTAATCGGCCCTGAAGCTTCTGGCTGCTCTAGCGCCCTCTGCCTGTGGTGGGGGGTGGGACTGGCTCCTTGGTGTTCATGAACGGCGGAAAAATGAACGGTTTGATACAGCGCTAGTTTTGGACATTTTTGAGGACTTCTGAAGATGCTTTCAAAGAAGTCTGTAATTTTCATTATATAGTGAGAAAGGAAAAAAAAAACTTAGATAACCTGTTTTTGAATTGAGCAGCTCCAGACAGTAGATATGCTGGTGGATTTACCTGAACATGTCCTAACTGTTTAGTTTAACTTTAACCCAGAACCATGCAAACGATCTAGAACAGTGATCTAGAACACTTTGAGCCTCACAGAAACCAGAATAAGGAGGAGCAGACAGAGCACGTCAGAGCAGCTTATCTCTCTCACCTCTTTATGGAACAAAGAAAGAAAAACTTGGATAAACTTCCAAGATCTCTCTGAGAATCACCTCTCTGCCTCAATCACCATGGAAACCGTCCCACACCGTTTATTGCTGCGATTTTCTTTTCTTTAGACGTAGATCTCGTTATGTTTTTAATAGATGAACATTCTCTATCTGTTCTGGTTCTAGATGCTGCACATATTCACTAAGTAGAGCTTTGCTTTATAGAATGCACTGCTATTTTGTTCAATAACGTTTCATAATCTGTTCCAGTCAAATGTGGGAAATATTTTTAATGTGTGTATAACACAGAGACAGAAGTGAATAAATCTGCTCAGATCTGCTCATCCTGCCTAGTTGGAGCCTCTCTATATGCAGTCTGTGGGACATGGAAAAACATCGGATCGGAGATTAAATGTCGTACCAATTGCTGTTTTCAGGCCTTTTGGGTCAATGTTGTTTTTGGTGGCAGTTTGAGAGCAAAACTGAAGCCTGAATTCACTTTTATGAATCAGGTGTTGTCCTGTTCACAAGAATGAAGTGAGGCTCTCCATGTGCATGACTGCATCAGTAAACATGTGATCATTTTCACGGCATTTGTAGCTTCCTTTAAATTCACATCAGTCATCAGAAATGCATTTCAGTTCGTGCCTCTGATTTATAGATAATTTAAAATAAGAGATGACTGACATTCATCAAGCAACGTTGCAGCCACGCAGCATGGTTTTATGATGACATCACAACAATCACAGCATAACAGTCAACATGAAGGGATTCGGAGGAAGAGAAAACGTTTCCGTTGTTTTACCTCAAACTCTGCCTGGAAGCCCTGAGTGCTGTGAAGTTCAGCCACGTGTTGAACAAACTCCTGCACTGGAAAAGCTCTGGCTCCATCTGAACAGTTCAGGGAGTAAAAGAAAAGGTGGCATTCAACATCCGTTTGAGATAATAAACATTTTAAAGGCAATGCATTTAAGACTAAATGTTTTTATTGTTATTCTAAATTGGAAAAGAATCCCTCAGTCAAATAAAAGGCTGTTTGAGAAACTTCAAAACGAAGATGACAGGATGGACAGGAGACAGTTTGGACGGCCTTTGGGGAATATTACAGCAGTTCTTCCGGCAGGCTTCTCTAATGTGGTTAGATAATGTAGGAATATATACAAACATGGGCAAACCTGCTGATACCCTTCAATGAAAGAAAAACACATAATGGTAACAGAACCAGTGGCGGCTGGTGGAGTTTTCTCCGGGCGTTGGGGGTTGGTGGATAAATACAAAACAGACGTAAATCAAAAACCAATTAAATGTTTACTAAGTTATCACACCACTATATTTATATGAATGCCAAAAACATAAAATATTATAAAATCACTTTATAAAAACAAACATACTTTCATGTGCAGGTTTCCTTTTTCTACATAACTCTTGTCCTTCTGAGGCTGTGAAGGTAAATCTGTGTTTTTCATGGTCCAACATTGTATCACAAACCTAAAAAAATGATGAACCGGTTTAATAATGGAGAAGCTATTAGTCAGCTTTATGTTTTTTTAATATATAAAAACTAGTGCTGTCAATCGATTAAATTTTTTAATCGCGATTAATCGCATAAATGCCTGAGTTAACTCGCGATTAATCGCATTTTAATCGCACATTTTTTTCCTGATTGAAAATCATTTAAATACTCTCGATGACATACAAAAAAATACATACAGGCTAGGTTTGTGCCAATGTTCTTTTTTTAAAATGAAAACAGGTCACAGATACTGATTTATGCCATAGAAACATATGGCAAGAAGATGGGGAGGCATGTAGCAAAAAATAACAAATATGTAGGCAAAAAAAAGGCCCTGAAAACAGGCTGATGTAAAAGACAGTCTTTACAGTTAATACAGTCTTTTGAACAAAGACAAGCATTTTACCCTACTGCTATAAAATTTAGTAGAGTTAACATTAGATGTTAATTAACCAAGGTAATAATGAACAATTTTCAATCAATACATCAAAATCAATAGACCGACATCACTAGATGAAGGTAGTCTATGCTCTCTAGAAAGTTACTTTTCAGCCTCTTAACAAAAATGAGAACACACACACACACCCACTCACCCACACACAGACACACCCACCCACACACACACACACGCGATACCGACCTGTTGCGTACACAGACGGCAAGAGTGCTGCTACGAGATTCCATTTCACCTCAGTAATCAGTTTTCTCAGCGTATTTCAGGTTGCTACTACACTCAACTTGTTTGTTGGTGGTGGGGCTTAAAGAAAAGGCACTAGCGTCACCCAGTGTATGAGCGTCTTTTTCCCTTGAGGAGCTCCGCTCTAGAAGCCTATGAGAAATGCATAGACTGGGGGAAAATAGCCCCGCCTTCCCGCAGGCTGCAGCGGGATGTACTTGGAAAAATTGTACCATAAAACCACATAGCGTTAATCTCACGTTAAAAAAATTATCGCCGTTAAAATGGCCTCGCGTTAACGCGTTAATAACGCGATAATTTTGACAGCACTAATAAAAACTATTTATTTTCTCAGAATTTATTTTTATTCTTTTATTTAAGAGCAAATATGCAAATGAACAACCATCTAGAAAAAGTAGATTTTATTCTATTATTTTCCATGTGAGTCCCAGATTGTTCATTCTTCTTTGCCTTTTCTAAAAAGTGCTTTAAATCAGTCCTAGCTGTCTTTATCCATGCTGGCTCAGATCCTCTCCCATCTGATTCAGATGGGAGAGAACCGAGGAGGAACCAATGATGCAAATAATCATAAAAAAGTTAGTGAAATTCACCAAACTACAAGCTGACCAGAAATAAACAGAGGAGACAAACATGGAGCTTTATGCCAACATCAGCTCTATGTTCACAGATGGAAAAAATGAAGCAGACCCAGAAAAAAACAAACATGGAGGAGGCTGTGTTATGCTGTGGGCTGCTTTGCTTCATCTGAATCTCTGCAGGCTCCAATGAAATCTCCAGACCATCAAGGGCGGTGGAGAGAAATGTGCTGCAGTGTCAGAAAGCTTGGTCTCAGCAGCAGCTCATGTGTCTGCAACAGGATCAGGACCCAAAACACAGAAACAACAGAGAACAGCTGAGAGGGAATCATTGGACTGAAGGGGCCCCTAGGGGCCCTGACCTCCATCCTAATAAGCACCTATGGAAGGAGCTGAAACAGGAAAGGCAGCCTGAAACTCCTGCATGAGGAGTGGAGCAGAATAGCTGCTGGGAGGAGCAGAGGGCTGATTGACAGGAACAGGAACCAATCATAGCAGAGATCGACTCTGAAGGTTGAAGATACATCATTTTAATCCAGGCCCTTTTCATGAGTTTATTTTCCAAAACATTCTGTTTTTGATAAACAGTGGATTATTTCCTGCTATCATCGCAACCCCTGTCCCTTTACAGGCGAACAGAACACCTCCCCCGTTTCTGTCACATGGGAGAGGAGGTTTGAAGGAGGACCCAAATGCAGACTGAAGTTGCAGTGGTTTCTGGAAGGTTTATTATCTAAAACGTTCAACAGTAGAAAAAAATCCAAAAACAGGAATCCTCAAAAATTCAAAACTACAGAATTCCAGAAATACTCACAACAAGGTGGCAAAGAAATGACAACAAACCAGCAAAGGGTGACTGACCAGGACGAGAATATATGGGAGACAGAAACAAAGACCAGAATAATTAGCAGATTGGGAGCAGGTGTGGACAGAGGAGGCAAGAAGGGAGCTAGGGAAAATGAGACTGACACGAGAGGGCAAACAAGAAATATCTAAGAACTTAAATACAATCAAAAATAACTAGAACAGAAAAATGGAAATAAGACAGAACTTGAAGAGAACCAAAACTTTGACAGTTTCAGCCAGGCCAACAATTCCCCCTAACGACCCCTTTTATAGAGACATAGACAGGTATGGGACATTCATAAGGGGTGGACCCGTCCATCCGTTTCAATTTGCATGTTTTTAAACAAAAACAAGGATTTGTTGGGCTGCTGTATAAAACCTGGAACTCAACGCTATTTCTGATATTTTGAATTGAAAAAGCTTCCTGGATGGAAGAGAAACGTCTTCAAAATTGGAGTCCAGTGGATTGATTTTTTTTTTTACTTTTTTGGAATTCTGTGTCAAATGTCTGACTTTCATTTGCAGATTTGTGAATAATAAAACTTTGTCCAATTCAGTTTATCTGTGGAAATTATGGATTTTTGTTTCATTTTAGTACCAAAAATATTGCCCACATGTCCAAATACATATAGCTATATCTATATCAAAGCAGTTATATTCACAATATGGTATTTTTTGAAAAAAGAAACCTGATTTTTCAATTTAAGTTTTTTGTCTACAGGATAAAATTGACTTTATTGTTTAATTTACCAGACGGTAGTGCAGCAGTCGACTGTGTGATGTCTCGCTGTGATGACATGCTGGTAATGTAAAAGTGAGCCGTCTGGAAGCACATTCTGTAGAAAGAAAAATAAACAGAATCAACATTTTATTTTATTTGCTTTAATCCATAAAAAGCAGAGACAGATTTTTCTACACCATCAGTGGAAAACAGGTTTGTAATCAAGTTGAAAACAGAAAAATAACAGCACCAAAGGAACATAAGTACAGTGAATCCAAGAGGGATAAGATGCTTTTGTCTTCATGTGATTCGGTGTAAGCCCAGATTTTGGCGTAACATAGTAATCTTCACATAAACACGAGAAAAAAGATGTTCTGCTAATCCTCAACATGTTTTTAAACGGATGATGCTTCCTGTAATGAACATGCAGGATCTCAGCTAGAAATGGACATCGCATGGAAAAGATGAGTGAGCCCAGAGATTAAAGGACGAATGCTTAGAAGAAACCATAATAATCAAAGGAGGCCCTCAGATTCCCATGACGATCAACAATGGAGGGTGTTTACACGGTCAAGAAGCCGTCAAAGCTTTCAGCAAGTCATCTTCTGCTAAACATCTAAAATTGATCCATCTCTGTTTGCTTGTTCTTTCTTTGCTCTCTGCTCTCTTCCATCATCAAACAATAAAGGAAGACAAGCAGAAAAAACCTGTTCAATCTTCCCACAGATACTGTCTGATAATAAAACAGAAATAAAAATGTTTTCATCTTTGCTGGTGAAGGTTATTAGTCATCCAGGTCATAGTTATTCCTAAAAAAATAAAATTAAAAACAATCCACTGGACTTTGTCTCAAAGTTTGAAGATGTTTCTCTTCCATCCAGGAAGCTTTTTCAATTCAAAATGTCAGAAATAGCGTTGAGTTCCAGGATTTATACAGCAGCCCAACAAAGCCTGGTTTTAGTTTAGAAAACATGCAGATAGAAATGGATGAACGGGTCCACCCCTTCATCGCAGCCCCAGCCCCTGTACAGGAGAGTGGAGGACCTCGCCTATTCAGCCAGGCCAACTATTCCCTTATGACCCCCCTTTCAGAGACATAGACAGGTATGGGGCATTGCAGGCTAACAAAGAAGCAAAAACGACAGCATTCCAAAGGGGTGGACCCGTTCATCCATTTCTATTTGCATGTTTTCTAAACAAAAACCAGGCTTTGTTGGGCTGCTGGATAAAACCTGGAACTCAGCGCTATTTCTGACATTTTGAATTGAAAAAGCTTCCTGGATGAAAGAGAAACGTCTTCAAACTGGGAAACAAAGTCCAGAGGATTGTTTTTAATTTTCTTTTTTTAAAGTTTTGATCTTTGTTAAAAACTGTGTATTTCCTTCTCTTAAGAATCTGCTGAACAGCTTTTCAGGATAAATTACCCGGAGAAGCAGTTCAGCCTTTAGCGGATTTATTGCAGGACTGCCCAGAGTTGGACCTCGAGGGCTACCGTCCTGCAGGTTTTAGAGCTGAAGCTTAAGAAGCTGAGCTGAAGAAGGAAAACAACTAAAACCAGCAGGACAGCTGCCCTCCAGGGCCACCTGGTTTAGACCAACATGTTTATAAAAATCAGACTCTGACAGCTTTGACTCAGAGTTAAACATTTACATGATTGACAGTAGTTATTGTGAGACGAAGCCTCATTGATACTGTTTGGCCAAATTGCTTCAACAATCTCCACAGTTCATGAAGCTTCATGTGAACATGTCACCACCTACTGGTGGAGTGCAGAACTACAGTTGGTAATATAATTGGGATTTTTTGCAATTGTTTTTCTTTTCTTTATTTTTCCCATTTAAGTTTCTTTGAAATTGTTAATGATTGGGGTGTAATAAAATATTTTGTAAGTTTTGTTTGTGTAAAATGTCTTAGAAGAGAACAATCATTTAAGGTTCACTGTTTTTCTGCCATTTTAGTGAAATAAGCTCAAGCAGACAGGGAAAGTGTTTGTGCAAATTGGGCAATGATGAGCAAAATGAAAGGTTTTAGTCATTTTATTCAAATATAGTTTTTCCACTGGTTTTTGGTTTTAATTGGGTTGGAAGTTATGTGTTCAACCAATCTTTTGGCTAAACCAACCAATGGGATTTGGCAGTCTTTTTAACCAATTTGTAAAACAACCACATGCTTTGTTTTAACATATGTGCTGATGTTTAAAGTAAGATCCTTTTGTTTCCCCTTTTCCCTTTAGTTAAACCTCAGCTGATGTAATTAGGGACATCCCCTCTTCTTCAATAAATGGCGAGCAGAAAGCTGAAGACTGCAGAGTGGGTTGGAAATTTGTAAACTCTGCAATCTCCTTCCTATTCTCCTCGCGAGTAACTAAATTAATTGTCTCTGTGCTTTCTTTCTTTCCCTGTATGTATGTATGATGTTTTAGGTGATTAGACCTGACAACATTGCAGGTTCTAGTCCAAAAAACAGATGTTTAGGCAGACGTCCGATGAGGGTAAGGTAAGTCTGGGAAATCCAGGGAGAAAGAACAGGATCAGAGAGATGGTAATCAGGTATGAAATGCTAGAAGCCTACATACTCAAGGCTTTTATTAATAAAACACGAACATTCTGCAAGGCAACCAGATCTACAGGTGAATGGAATGGACTTAAATGTGCTGCAAGTTCAGAGGGGCATCAGATGTTCTAAATTGCACGTTGATCTTGGAGCTGATGGCTGGCTTAATTAATCATTTCATTCACCTGTCTAACTCCTGCCCTGTTCTGCCTCTCAACCACTGAGTCTGCCTGTTCCCGTCTGAACGGTTTACCCAAATTGACTTTGGACCCCAGGATCTCTGAGCCTGCCTGTTCCTATTCTGATCTCTTTGCTTGACCTGGCTTCGACTCCTGAACCTCTGAGCCCGCCTGTTCCTGGTCTGATCTGTTTGCCTGACCTGTCTTCAGACTCCTGCAGGATCTCCAGGGCTTCAGCACCTGGGACACTCTGGGCGGCGGGCACCGCATCTTCTTGTCAGCCCATCGGCTGGATCCCACCTCGTTCTCAGAACTTTTAAACCAGATTATTGACTCACGTGTTCATAATCTTCCTCTGTCGGATTAGCGTGGTCACTAACCTGTGTTTCCTTTTATGTAGTTTCCTGTGATAGACACCCTAGCTACTCACATCCTCAGTGTTTTAAATAGATGCTTTTGCATTATCCAAAATGTCTGTCTGGCCCTGAATACTGGGTCCTCTGTTCTGAGTCTTGATAATCAATGCAGGAAGAAACTACAAACTGCAATTTCTCAGTCCTCCATTTTGTTGCCCGTAGAAACCATTCTAACTGACGCAGTTATTACCACCTGATCTACATACGGCAGCGCAGCATGACAGATGGTCCCCCCTCTGTTATCTGTCTGAAATGCAACGATTTCTGATGGATGACGGAGCAAAATACGCTAATTAGTAAAAACCTGATGAGTGAGACAGGAAGTTGAATTTCTGAACAGACTGAATATAAATGCACTAAGAGCAAAGACAGAGCAGCCAATCTGAGAGGTCATGCACTTTTAGAAAAGTTCCTTTCATTAAATCCCAGAGACAGTTATAGAGTGGGTGGACTTTGGAGCTAAAGGACTGCAGGAAAGGTTTTAGACCAGGGGTAACCAATTAAAAATCAGTGGGTCCAAATAAAGAAAATCATCAACCAGTAAAGGTCCAGAGAAATTTTTAATTTAAACAGAATTTAACACTGAAATAAAATTAGGTGTTTATGCATCCATGTTATACATTGACTTTTTAAATAAAAATATATAAAAAATAGAAAATGTTTCCATTTTAAAATCTAAAGTGTTTTTTAAAATAGAGAACAACAATTGTTCAGTTTGGTTTATAAACAATTTCCTGATTCCCATATTTTATAAAACACCTGCACTGACCGTTTTCTCTTTCTGTCTTAATGTTGGCAGTGGGCTTTATGCTGCCCTGCAAGGCTTTAAACCTGGGTTTGAATGGAGACTAAGCCATTCTAAAGCACATATCAAGGTGCTCATTCTGAGCCTGGAATCCCTATTTATTTTTGATTCTGTTCATGGTGGAGAATCCTGCTTCACAGCAGCAGGTTGAGCCAAACATCCTCTAAATGTGCAGGGTCATCTTTGAGCACCATTTCACTTTTCTTTCACCAGTTCACCACAGTTCTTCCAGCAGTCCACACTTTCTCTGCTCTCTTTTTCTCATCATCTTCTCCTTCTTTCCCATCGCCCAGCTTGCCACAGGTTTGCCTGCTGTGTCTAAAAGTAGCAGCAGCAGCAACCCAGACTGACAGCAGCTTATTGGATCATTTGTATCAAGTGCAGCCTGGTGCCGGACGCACTGAAGGGCTTTACCGTATTAACAGGAGAAGCGGCGCAAGTGAAATTAGACACTGCCGTCAGACAACATGCAGTAATTTAAGTAAGTTTTAAATCAGGTTGAGTCTGAATTCGGACCCACCTGCTGAGTTAGATGTTAGCCGGCTGTGAATCAGGAGGAGCCGTGTCACCACCCCATCTGTAACATTGGTTCATTTGGAACCAGACATTCATCCAGGTCACCAAAAATAATGTAGTTATGGTACAAAAGGTATTTATTTCTATCCTTAAATCACTAAAGAATGCTAATACAAATCTTTAACACGTTTTTATGACTTTTGACATTTTCTCCTTTAAACTGCTTCTCCAACATAATAATAATAAAAATAATTGAATTTTATTAATCTCCTAATGGAGAAATTAACCTCTGCATTTAACGCATCCCCTTGGGGAGCAGTGGACTGCCATTGTGCAGCACCCAGGGAGCAGTGTGGGGTTAAGGGTCTTGCTCAGGGACCCAGAGTGGCAGTCTGTGGGAGTGGGGCTCAAACTCAGGATATCAGGATTCTACGCCCTAATTACTAGGCCGTCCTGAAAAGCATGGGACATGCTCAGAGCAGTTAGCCAAAATATGATTAAACAATGTTTATCTGCATTTTAGCACTATATACCATAACGTTAACGGCAAAGTAAAAACATAAACTCAAAAAGACTACATTTATGTTTAAATCCAAAGCTGATAAAGTTATTCACTGGAAGTAGAATAGGATCCCATTTCCAGTAC